GAGTGCGGTGAAGTGGTTGCGGTGGTGGATGGCGAGGCGGAGCTTAGCCGGTGCCGAGAATGGTGACGGCGGACGCTCGGCGCTGCGGCTGCTATGGCGGGTGAAGAAGGAAGCCGAGAAATGAAAATGGTGAGCGCGGCTGAGTGCGGGCAGGTGTGGGGCTTGATGTAGTGCGCTTTGGCCTGGCTCTGCCGTGCTGGGCAGGGCGCCGGTGACACGCGACCATTTCCTCCTCCACGCGGCGGCTCTGTCCTGGCGACGGTTGACCACCGAGTCAACGATTCAGTTCGTCAGTAAATCCCGAAGCCGAGCCTGACGGTGAGTTTTTCATTTGAATTATCTCCCGATACAAAGTCGTTTAGTGAATGATTCCAAAACAAAAGTTGTAGTCCTAAGTACCATCTTCATTTCTTGTTCAAGGATCTCGTGCCAATTCGCAACCGAAACTGAGTTAGATCACCCCCAAGATCGGCTTGTCAGTCTGTCAGTCACAAAGGACTTAGCAAAAATTGTTAAGTGTTGAAATCAGGGATTTGATGATTTTTGTGATCCCAATTCAAGCATGTTAGAAGCTAAATCAGTCAATGACCCAAAAATAAAAGTTGTTCCCCTTGTCAAACACTACAACTTTGTTTTAATGACCTCCTCCATGCAAGGTCCCTAGCACTTAGTTCAAACTTGGTCAAACATGCTTCCTTAAAAAGATGACTCATACATGAACCATGACTTAGTGACTCATTTAGCCCTAGCCATGAATACCAAAGTTGCTCATAATGACACTCTAAACATGTTCAAGCTATTTATAAGGTCACACAATCATTTCATACATTAGTTGCACATAAAGCTTTCCAGTTCAACACACATAGCATCACTTAAGTACTTGATTAGACAAAATGATCTTCATGAACATTGTTCCACTAGTCACCATAAGTGTAGCTAATATGTTTTAGTGACTCACATCAACTACTTACATGTATACACTCATAATCATATGCATATTCATATGAAAACATGAAATACTAAGAAATGTTGCGCATGTTTCAATTGAATGTTTCAAGTGTAAATGCATATATATGAATGCTTGATGATCATGCTCATGTTATGCAAGTCAATATATGCAAGGCTAACACCTAGGGTGTTACACCTTCGCCGCGGACGTCCGTTTCCTACCCTGTCTAATTTCTTTGCCTATGTGGCTACGCAGTTTGGTGTCCCCATTCAGGGTATTCAATGCGATAATGGACGCGAGTTTGACAATCATACTTCCCGCGCCTTCTTCCTCTCCCACGGCGTCCAGCTCCGGATGTCCTGTCCTTATACCTCACCTCAAAACGGTAAAGCTGAACACATTATTCGTACCATCAATAATATTGTTCGCTCCCTCCTATTCAGGCCAGTGTCCCCCCAGCCTATTGGTTTGTGGCTCTTTCCACCGCAACCCTCCTCCTTAACATTCTTCCCACCAAGACACTCAACTTCTCCACCCCACACATGGTGCTCTATGGGTCTCCACCCTCTTATGACCACCTCCGTGTCTTCGGGTGTCGCTGCTACCCCAATCTCTCCGCCATTGCTCCCCACAAACTCGCTCTTCCTTGTGTGTCTTTCTCAGGTATTCCCCTCATCACAAAGGCTACTGCTACCTCAACCGGTCATCCAACCGGATCATCATCTCTCGGCATGTGGTCTTTGATGAGGCATCCTTCCCATTCTCTGAGGATCTTGGTCGTCCCTCACCCCAGGATTTTGAGTTTTTGAGCTCCACTGACCCTGTGATGGCTCCCCCAGCACCGTCATTTTTTTACCTATAGACACTCCCGGTGACTCCAAGATTGACCCACGTGCGGCCCTTCTTCGAGGAGGCGCCCCTTGGGTCATTGTTGCTCCCTTGCACTCCGGTGGCCTACCAGTGGCCAGTCTCGCCTCTGTTGCCTCATCATCACCGGCCAGAAGCGCCAGCTTCTCCCGACGGTGGCAGCAGCTCCCGTCGCAGCACACCAGGCCAGCGCAAGCACCTCCCTGGGGTGCCCGATGGCGGCTGCTCACCACCTCCACCCGGTCGTGTCGCGCCCCACCCGCCGGACCATTGGCTTTCAGCTTCATTGGCTGACCTTGTCTACCACCGACGCCTGACTCCTCCTTCGATTTGATTTGGCTGTCTGGCGCGCGGTCCCTCGGTTCGGTGACGTCTACCGACGTCCGTGATCTGCTTCTACGCCGCCAGTCTCTCCATCTACTGCGTCTCTGGTCGCTGCACCACCATCACCACCAATTCCTCCTGTTCGCCTCCCCGCCGAGGTGGTTCCCATTATCCCTGTGGTTAACCAGCATGCCATGCGGACATGTGGGAAGGCCGGTTTCCGACAACCGGTCACTCTTCAGCGGTTTCCCTATCGCCTCTTCCGTGGACTTATCGCGCCGTAGTTGCTGATCCAAATTGGCGTGCCGCTATGCAGGACGAGTTTTCAGCACTGCTTTCCAACCACACTTGGGATCTTGTACCACGCCCATCTAGATACAATGTGGTGACTGGCAAGTGGGTCTTCAAGCACAAATTCAAGGCAGATGGTTCTCTCGAGCGCTACAAGGCGCGCTGGGTTCTTCGTGGCTTTACTCAGTGCCCTGGCATTGACTATGATGAAACTTTCAGCCCTGTTGTGAAGCCTGCTACTGTCCGGACAGTTCTGTCTCTGGCTATTTCTCGCAAGTGGCCGGTACACCAGCTCGATGTGAAGAATGCTTTTCTTCATGGACATCTCTCAGAGACAGTGTATTGTGCTCAGCCTTCAGGTTTTGAGGACTCCTCTCGCTCAGATTATGTGTGTCGTCTAAATCGCTCTCTGTATGGACTCAAACAGGCGCCACATGCATGGTATAGTCGTTTCGCCAGTTTCCTTCTTCAGTTGGGTTTTGTGGAAGCCAAGACAGATACATCACTCTTTGTATATCATCGTGGCTCTGAGACTGCTTATCTTCTGCTGTATGTGGATGATATTGTGCTGACAGCTTCTTCTCCAGACTTGCGTCATCGCATTATTGCAGCCCTACAGCGTGAGTTCTCTATGAAGGATTTAGGCGAACTTCATCATTTTTTGGGCATGCAATTTCAGCGCACTGCTTCTGGGTTATTTTTGTCACAACACCAGTACATGTTGGACATCTTGGAACGTGTTGGTATGGCTGATTACAAGCCATGTGCCACTCCAGTTGATATCAACCCGAAGCTCTCTGCCGATGGTGATCCTATTTCTGATGCTACAGATTACCGCAGTCTTGCTGGCGCATTGCAGTATCTCACCTTCACACGGCTTGATCTTGCTTATGCATTACAAAGCAGGTGTGTCTACACATGCACGACCCGCGGGAACCTCATCTTGCCGCTCTGAAGTGGATTCTTCGCTATGTTCGTGGTACTTTGGACTTGGGCCTTCATATCCGTGCCTCCAGTCAGTCTGATCTTGTGGTCTACTCAGATGCAGATTGGGCTAGTTGTCTTGACACTCGTAAGTCCACCTCGGGCTACGCTGCATTCCTCGGTGACAACTTGGTCTTCTGGTCCTCTAAGCGCTAGAACATTGTCTTACGCTCCAGTGCTGAAGCTGAGTACCGTGCTGTAGCTAATGCGGTTGCAGAGGCTTCCTGGTTGCGCCAGCTATTGTCCGAGCTACATACACCTCTGTGTCAAGCAATGTTGGTGTATTATGACAACATCAGTACAGTTTACATGTCTTCCAACCCTGTTCAGCATCAGCGTACCAAGCATATTGAGATCGATCTTCACTTCGTCCGAGAACGAGTGACTCTTGGTGCTGTCCGCGTTCTTCCCATCCCGACGACGTCCCAGTTCGCCGACATCTTCACCAAAGGCTTGCCTTCTTCCAGAGTTTCGGTCCAGTCTCAACGTTCGCAAATACGACGTTGTGACTGCGGGAGGGTGTTAGAATGTAAATATATATATATATATATATATGCATGTGTATATGGGCCTAGGCCTTTGGTATAGCCGACCGGTCCTCTATTTGGTTAGAGAGATATAAGGAGATCTCGGTTTGGTCCTGTTTCTATAAACCATAAGATCTCATCTCATATATATATATATATATATATATATATATATATATATATATATATATATATATATATATATATATATATATATATATATATATATATATATATCCAATCAATCCATCTATTATTCCACGCAATCGTTATTGCTTTGAGATAGGCACCCGCCCGATGCTGGCAATTTTCTGGTGCTGTCAAACGCAAGACGTCGTTTTTAGACAGGCGATCTCCTGTAGATGTAAGCGTTCTTAAAATTGTATTCCTGTCCTAATTGTCTATTACTCTAACGTATATTAGATAGGTATGTGTCTGTGTCTGTTGACGTATATTAGATAGATATGTGTCCTAATTGTATTCCTACTTGCATCTCGGCTAGAATGCTAGGAACAACTGTAAACTACTAGGCCGTGCTTATAATATAGAATCGGAGCATGCCTTGGATTTGAAAATATAATATATTGGCAGGTGAGGTGATGGATTTGAAAATTTATAGATGTGCGGATCTCGTTGAAAGAAGAAGCGGTATGCAGGTCAACGCTTGCCCAGCCTGTCGGCACTAGTAATGTTTCTCTACAAGGCTACAGCTACAGCTACATATATGGCCGGGCCTGCTTGGCTCTTCTTCGATATACGTCCATTGCACCGGCGGCTGCCACAAAGTCGGAGCTCGGAACATACCACGCTCTCTTTTGTGCACAACTCTTGTCTGTCTTCGCCGGTGAGCGGTGGGCCGCCTAACTGCTTCCTGTGTTTTGATTTTTGAAGAGTTGCCTCTTTTTGTCTTCACGGCCTGTGTTTTTGTCTTTTGGGTTGTTGTTGCTGATGCCAATGTCTCTCCGATCCTCTCTTTGGTTAGGTGCTTGCTTTGGTCGCTTTCTGTGATTCGCTGCTGTGATTGATTGTTCATCCATCTTCAGAGAGAGTTGGTTTGCATGGGGTGTGTCTCCTCCAAGAAGTCCAAACGACCTCCGGGATATGTGGATCCCAATATCTTGGCTAAAGAGACTACCTGTAAGAATCTGAATACTCGAATCTCATCTCAAGAATAAAGGAATATAACTGAATAACCCTTGTGTTTTTGTCTGTTCGCCTGTTCATGCTTGTTGCAGTTTCTGTCAATGAAGTGGAGGCCCTCTATGAGCTTTACAAGAAGATAAGCTATTCCATATTCAAAGATGGCCTAATTCACAAGGTACTGCCTACTGCCTGCATCAAACGCTTCTGTGGTGGAAAGTTCGTTAGACCATGTGATTCTGAACATCTAGAACTACATTTCCATTGAATAGGAGGAGTTCCAGCTTGCTCTCTTCAGGAACAGCAACAAGAAGAATCTTTTCGCCGATCGGGTCAGTTCCTAGTTTATGCTCCTCCAAATAGCAGCAGTTATCTGTAGGATCCTTTTTGTTTAGAGAATTTTTGGGACTGTAATATGCATAATTCAAGGAGTATGTACCAATTGATTCTTTCTGGCCTGGAAACTTTATCAGTAGTTAGTTATCTTCATGCAAATTAAAACTTTTTCTAGAATTATCTTGTCTCCTGCCTCGCAAACTCTAAATTATGTTCATATATGTGAAACTTTTTTTATACTGTTCTATAATATGTGCAGATATTTGATCTGTTTGATCTGAAGCGCAATGGAGTGATTGATTTTGAGGAGTTCGTTCGGTCCCTCAGCATTTTCCACCCAGATACGCCGATGGCAGAAAAGATCGCCTGTAGGAATAAAAAATTTCTATTCCAACTCCCATTTCCTGATGCAACTTGCTCAGCAACTTAGTTTTAAGATTACTCTGATGTAGTGCTTCAGGATGAAAATTGGGTAAAGTTCAATTTGTAGTTTTGCCAATTATTTTTCTCACTTTTTACCTCACAAAAATGTACAGAAGAAACACGGCTTCTGACAATAAGGCAATTTTAGAAGATAGAGGAAAACATGAACCGGTAAAAACCATTCATTGCATAAAACTAGCAGAAATATTTAATTTCTAGTATGATAAGTTAGTAACTTTTTTTATCATTTGTACCAAAATTATCTTATCTCTTTTGTCATCTACCATATGTTTCTTCTCTGTATGACATATTAAGGAATTCTTCCTTTCAGTTGCATTTCGGCTATATGATCTGAGAGGTACTGGATCCATTGAACGCGAAGAGGTTTGTGTCATTAATCTTCTTTGAATCACTTAATATTCTTTTTTTCCACAATTGCACCTCCGATACATAACCTAGACTTCAGCATGCATTCAGTAAGTAATGAAGTACCTTTTGACCTCCATTCAACAAATTAAGACACAGTTGAGACATTAGCCTATTATGTTGGAATTTGGAAATAACACTCCCTTGTCGCTCCAAATGAATGTTTTATATATATGCACTAAAAGTGGTGTGCAAACTATTTTAGCTTTGGTTAACTCCGAAAATCCTATGTTAATAACTGAGTCTTTTTCTCTAAACATTCATGCAGTTGAAGGAAATGGTGCTGGCCATTCTGAATGAATCAGAATTACTTCTTTCTGACGACGCTGTCGAACAAATTGTTGATCAGGTACAGTGCTTCAATAGAAACCATTACTTTCATCTTGATCATACCGCCTGTTGCTTGGTCCACAAATATGTCCACCACTGAGCTTAAAGCCTTAAAGTGTACTGTGACACATCTGTTTGCTCTAAATTTTCATCAGTGTTTACTTTATTGATGCCAAAGCAAAGTGCCTGGTAGCTTTCAGCCAAATTAATTCCTTCCCAAACTTTTACTATAATGTTTCAATTTTTCAATTCAATTCTTGTGGCGCAAGAAGCACCACATCGCAAAGTCCCCAGCCAACAAGACATGGATTTTATGGCATGCTAACTTAAGTTTTGGCAGACTTTCAAGCAAGCAGACATGAACGGAAGGTGTTCGCAAGTAAAAACCCAGCTCTTCTCAAGAACATGACGCTTCCCTATCTAAAGTAAGTTTACAGACTACGTTTTCATGTCGTAAAAACTCTTCGTGTTTGGCTGAAAAGCTTACATGCTAACCATCACGTGACTTCATTTATCGAGTGGTAAACTCTGATGACTTGTTGCATTGTGTTGTGCATCTTCTATACAGGGACATAACCATGGCGTTTCCCAGCTTTGTTCTCAACTCTGGAGCTAGTGATGAAGAGTTGTAGCACCCCATGCTCTCCGTATATTTCTCAGTGTGGGCATGGGCGATGGCCAAGCTGCTGGTAAGGAAGTAACACTGGTCACTCAATTGGTTCAGGTTTCAGACAAACAGCAGCAGCAACCTCCTGAAGGTGCAGGCACTACGTATCAGTGATTTGAAGGGTCAGAATAGGAATACTATTGTGGCAACCCAGAGAAAACGCACTGAAGGGTGCAACCAAGCCATTGCATCTTTGTAAGCAGGTGGTTCACTTGAGGGCATCGTTGTAAGGGACAGAATGATGAGTGCTAGGCCTTCCTCTTTTTTCATTTTGCTTTAATTCATGAGGCTGTAAACAGTAAACTGGTATGTGATCTTTGCTCTCGTTGCCCTGTGTTGTTCTAAAAACGCTGTTTGTAATCACCTTGGTTATGTTTCAATAAATTTTCAGTAGAGACCCCTGGGCCTCTCCTGTTTCCTCAAAAAAAAAAAAAAAGTGGCTGATTACTAACTGATGATGCTGCAGCACTAGCTTGTAACCACCTGTAAGCACTGGAGTCCCATGGTCAACTTCTGTTGACTCGCAAAGGTTGTATATTTTCGACTCACGTTTTCTGCAGAATTGTATGGACAACAGTTTTGTCAGAATGTTACTTATTTAGAAACATACATTTCAGGTACAATCTCAAATGAACTTTCTGTCACCGAAACTATTCATCACTCATTAGCACCTATGCCTGACAGCATGTGTTCCAGTTTGACCATATAGATCCCCTACACTGCATCAACATACCAAGGAACAACATCTTGCTTTTCATGTAACCTGAGCTATCTAAAACTGACAAGTCTATCCTTATAAAGTATTTGTAATTCACAATTCTAAACATTTCAATTCGGCTTGTCACCTCTTATAGGTTCTCTGAAACGCATGTTAAACAAGTCATTCCAGATTGGTTCTACAGCTTCAGTTTTACCATCTGTTGCAGGTCCAAAGGATAGCACATCTTGGTGTGCTGACTGGACCACACATTATCTGCCAGGATGTGGTTGACAGCCTCTGTCGGGTGGAATTCATCCCACCAGACATGGCTTGATGCATCGCTGCACGCCATCTGTGGAAGAACGCACATGATCAAGCCTCCATACTTGCCCAGCCCACAGCAAGCATCAGTGGTGGTGACAAAACCTGCACAATGTCATATCTCAATGAGATGTAAGTGCTTCCCCAAGGACAGCAAGTAATCCAAACTTACCGATGATTAGTTTGCTCACCATAATGCTCACGGTTGTTTAGTATGTCCACAGACCCCTCAAAAGTGTCGCAATAACTGATCATGGAATCTGGATGCTGGCTGATGAACTCGCTAGACATGTGTCTCAGGGCATAGTTGAACTCGATCACGACATTGTTGATATAATCGATGCATTCCCCAGTTTGACTGCCATACTCCTCGAGGAAATGAGGTGCACAACCAACAGGAGGTAGGCCCATCAGTATGACTTTGCGAACATTGATGTCGTACAAATTCTGCATAAAACCATCACTATCAGAAGAGAGAGAGGGGGATATACAACCTGATTATATAACAAGGTCCACAGTTAATTTGGCAATAATGAATATATGAAAAAGAAACAAAAATACAGCATTCCTATTAATACTGAAGGTCTCATAAACATTTAAAAAACTAACAAGTTTCCGCCCTTTATCTATATACATTCAACTCTTGGGTGTCAGACAATACAACCATGGATGTGAGTATGTGACAACACAGATGGCGAGTGAGACACCGATGCTAGTCGCCCTCAGGCATGGGAGTGGGAAAATTGAATGAATAGACTTCCTAACTAACTAGACTCTAGGTCCTTGTGCATTATTTTGGACTCAACAGAGACGTGCACAGCAGTGTGCTACGGTACCTGTGAACAGAACTTTGGAATTGAATGTACCGTTCATTGGGCCCAGTTGATCCTGGGCCATGACAAATTCACTTCAGAAATATGGAAGTGAGCATATAATTGAATCAAATATAAATTCACTCCAAGAAGTAATTAATATCAACTATAGTCCCTATCCTTGGTACACTCAGGCAGTGGCGAAGCTAGAGCTTAAATGAGGGAGGTGCAGCACTTATACTAGCATAATCTATAATGTATAGAGCAGCTCCACCAAACAGAGCCTTAACCTTGATATGTAATATTTACATGCTAAAGTTTGATTTTTCTAAGGTAATATACACGGTTTTACAAAATTATATATAAACATAGAGACAGCTATGCAAAATCAATAAATATATACAATAGGCTGGGTTATCAAACTTGGACAAACATTTGGTATAGAAAATTAGTATCGATTATTTGCCACTTAATCCGATAACAATAGTAATTCAAATGACATACTACCATGGTCAACTAATTTTAAACCCTAAAGTCTTATTAAACCTTTTAGTTCGATAAATCAAACTTATATAACTGCATCTCCCATTAATTATCTAAAAAAAATCAGAGCTCCTAATTATGAAATAATGAAAGATGAGCCTCATTCTTTTTATTCTTATATGTACTTGGCATCTAGCCTATCTATACCCCTACTGGAAAAAAAATCTTCCCATAACAAATCTATACCCCTATCTATACCTCATTTTTGCAGCTGATAAGACAGCTAATGCTGTTTTGTTGTGAAAGAAAATACTATACCATGGCTGATAAGCCGGGCTTATAAGTTCAAGAGAACAGGGCGCTGATTATTTCTATTTCTTCTACAGAGACAATTAGCAAGCAAGCAATAATTGCAAGTTTAGGTGTTTTGTTTGGAAGAAATGTCATAAATACTGTATATATATAGAAACAAAGAGTGGTACTTAGCTTGTGCAACCAACAAATAAAATGAGAGGGTGCAGGAAGCATGCATCAACGAATAGTATATAATAATAATAAACTAATTATACAATGAATCATGGGCTTCTAGAGTTCTTATCCTAGGCCTAAATACGTCAGACATGCAGGACTTGGGACCCTTGCTCCAGGCATCGTCAGGTTTATTGGCACTAGGCCCATCAATGGCTTGTATTGGTTTGCTTGAGGAGTCAAGCTTTCACACTTCGATGTTGCTCCGTGGGGGGGGGGGGGGGGGGTGCATGGCACAGGATTCAGGGGTGCACTTGTGGTGATTTGAGAAAATCAGCACTTAATTTTCTTTTTTGCCGTGGGTGCATTGGCACCCTCCACGGCGTACGTAGCTTCGCCCCTGCACTCAGGGTAGATGTATTTCAATGAACTAAACTTAGTATTTCATCAAAATGCTGCGACTGTCATCAATTTTGAAATTTAGATTGCAATAGCTGTTCAATTGTCAAAGAACTAAAGATGAACATATATATAGAAAACCAATGCATTTATTTCTTGAGCAGCAACCCACATTTGAAACTAACAGCCAGCGATATATCCAACTAAGGAAATTTGTAAAGGTCTTACATCCCAGAACTGCCATAATTAAGGTTATCTGAATATCTTGATGGATAAGTCATGTGTGGCTGGTCTTCGTGGGGCTGTTGTTGCTCACATGGTCCTTGTGGCTGTTTTTCTGTTTTTAGGACAGCATTTTAGAATAGAGGACAGCATCTTAGAGGACAGCATCTTAGAGGACAGGACAACATCTTAGCTAGGACAAGTAGCAGCAGCTCCGGCCGCTCCTGTTCACTCCTCTCCCAGCTCGTCTGAAGCAGCCCTCTCCCCACGCAGCAGCCCCCCGGTAGCGCGTCATGTCCGCAGGGCAGTCTCAGCGCTCGGTCGCCTCGAGCACGCGGCGTCGGCAGGAGGCCGAACTTGCCGCAGCAGAGGAACGCGAGCGAGCGGCGGCAGAGACCGCTGCGGCGGTGGCAAGGGCGTCGAGGTTGGCAGCGGCGGAGCTGGCAGCAGCCAGAGCGGAGGCGGAAGCGGCGGCGGCGGCGAATGCAGCGCGTGCGGCGGCGGCGGAGGTCGAGGCTCTGCGCGGCAGCATCGGCAGCTCCATTTCCGCTGACGACACCGCCGACGCAGACCTCGAGCTGCTAGAGAGGGAGGCAGCGCGAGCGCGGGCGGCGCAATGGGCAGCGCCAAGACGTCCGCAGCGTGGCGGCAGCAGCTGTGACAGCGCGGACGCGCTGGCGGCGCTCTGGAGGCGCGCGACGGCGGTGGCGCTCTGGGCAGCCGCCGCGCGCGCCCACGCAGCGGCGGCAGCGGCAGCGCGGACGCGCGGTGGCGCTCTGGATGGCGCTCTGGAGGAGGCGCGCGGCGGCGGTGGCGCTCGGGTCGATGGAGAACGCGCGCACAGCAAAGATGGCTCTCTCCCGGTGGCGGCGGGTCGATGGAAGCGCGGCCTTCTGAGCGGCGTGGCTCTCTCTCCCGGATCGGTACCATGGTTACCACGGGCTCCAGTGTTGTCGGGACGTCGGTCCGGCGGTGGGTGGCCTACCCTCACCAAGACCAACTTCGCCGAGTGGGCTGCGGTGATGAGGGTAAAGCTCAGTGCGGCACATGTGGGAGGCGGTCCGGTATGGCGGCGTCGACCACGACCTAGATCGACGGGCGCTGGATGCTCTCATCATCGCTGCAGATCCCGCCCGAGATGCGATTCTCGCTTACAAAGAAGCGGATCGCCAAGGAGGTTTGGGACGCCATCATCGCTGCGACACGATCGGCGAGACCGCGCCCGCAAGTCCACGCTGCAGCGCCGCAGGAGTGGGAGAACACGGCCTTCAAGCCCGGTGAGGACGTTGATGACTTTGCTCTCCGTCTCAACACTCATTGCTGAGAAGATGGTGCAGTTCGGCGACGACACCTACGGCGAGGAGAGAGCTGTCGAAAAGCTCTTCCGCTGCGTCCCCGAGAAGTACAAGCAGATGGCTCGCTCGATCGAGTCGCTGCTGGATCTCTCCACGATGTCGATCGAGGAGGCGATAGGTCGCCTCAAGGTCGTCGACAGTGATGAGCCACAGTCCCTCTCGGGGCCCATCACCACCTGGCGGAAGCTCCTTCTCACTTGGGGAGCAGTGGCTTGCCGGCCTGTGGTGACCGGAGGAAGGGGAGCCTTCTTCCGCATGACAGCGGCCGTAAGCGTGGCAAGCCGCGCATAAGCGCGCAGAGACGCCAAAGCGGGCGCGAGGACGTGCCGAGGTGATGCCATGAGGCGCCAGGCGGCGCGCCCGGCAGCACTGGCAAGCACGCGAGGCGACACACACCGCGCAGCTGCGGCGCAGCTTGGGCCATTGGGCCAAGGATCGTCGACACCACGACGCGGCCGGGGCCCACGCCGACAAAGCGGAGGAGGAGGAGCCGGCTCTGTTCATGGCACATGCCAGCATCGAGCTACCTCCAGCGGCACCGGCCGCAGCGGCTCTCCTCCACCTCGACGAGCCAAAAGCACATGCCCTCCTCGACAACAGCTCCGGCAACGACAAGACTGACGGGTGGTGCCTCGACACCGGCGCCACCCATCACATGACCGGTCGACGGGAGTTCTTCACCGAGCTTGACTCTAGCGTTCGAGGCTCTGTCAAGTTTGGGGATGCCTCCGGCGTGGAGATCAAGGGCGTCGGCTCCGTCATCTTCACCACCGTGTCTGGTGAGCACAGGCTGCTCACCGGAGTCTACTACATCCCCGCGTTGAGGAACTCCATCATCAGCTTGGGACAGCTGGATGAGAACGGTTCGCGCGTGGTGGTTGAGGACGGAGTCATGAGGATTTGGGATCGTCGTCGTCGCCTTCTTGCCAAGGTATCCAGAAGCGCAAATCGACTCTACGTTCTTAACGTGCAGGTGGCACAACCCCTCTGTCTCACTACTCGTCGGGACGATGAGGCGTGGCAGTGGCACGAGCGTTTCGGGCACCTTCACTTTGAGGCCCTGAAGCGGCTCAGTGCCACAGAGATGGTGCGAGGCCTGCCGTGCCTCGACCATGTGGAGCAGCTCTGCGACGTCTGCGTGTTGACGAAGCAGAGGCGACTCCCCTTTCCCCAGCGGGCGAGCTTTCGAGCCAAGGAGAGGCTTGAGCTTGTGCACGGGGACTTGTGTGGCCCGGTGACACCGGCCACACCGGGAGGACGACGCTACTTCCTGCTGCTCGTCGACGACCTCTCCCGCTACATGTGGGTGATGGTCCTCGGCAGCAAGAGAGAGGCTGCGGACGCCATCAGGCGCGCGCAAGCTGCTGCGGAGGCGGAGTGCGGCCGCAAGCTGCGCGTGCTGCGCACCGACAACGGCGGCGAATTCACGGCGGCTGAATTCGCGTCGTACTGCGCTGATGAGGGCATTCAGCGCCACTACTCCGCGCCGTACAGCCCGCAGCAGAACGGCGTCGTCGAGCGGCGCAACCAGACGGTTGTGGGGATGGCTCGGGCCCTCCTCAAGCAGAGGGGGATGCCTGCTATCTTCTGGGGAGAGGCGGTGGTGACGGCCGTCTACATCCTCAACCGCTCGCCTACCAAGGCGCTCGACGGCAGGACGCCGTACGAGGCTTGGCATGGGCGCAAGCCGGCGGTCTCCCACTTGCGGGTCTTCGGCTGCCTCGCGTTCGCCAAGGAGCTTGGCCACATCAGCAAGCTCGGCAACAGAGCACTCCGGAGTGTTCATCGGCTACGCGGAGGGCTCGAAGGCCTACCGCATCCTCGACCCGAAGACACAGCAGCGTGCGCGCGGCGCGCGGCGTTGTGTTCGCGAAAAGGCGAGATGGGCGCAAGACAAGCGATGGGCGGCGGCTCGGCTCCGCGACGACGACTTCACTATCGAAAGTACGTCCACCGAGGGAGCTGGGGGAGTAGGCGGTTCTTCTTGGCGGCGCGCGTACCCCGATCTCCGAGCCTCCCACCGACCCCAAGACTGCTACGGCGACAAGACCACGCTCTCCAGCCAGGACCTCGGCTGCGATGAGCTCTTCGCCGGCTCCACCACAGCCGGCAACGCCACGCACTCCAGCACCGACAGGCACCACTCCGGGCACGTCTACTCCACCACCAGCTCGTGTCGAGCACGGCCCGGTTGAGCTCGCTACTCCGCTCTCTCACGACGAGGAGCGCGTCGACGCGTACCACGACGGTGAGCCGTTGCGGTACCGTACGGTGGAGAACCTTCTCGGCGACCAGCCGGTGCCGGGACCGGTGCCTCACGACTTGGAGGCGCAGTTGCACCTTGCGTGTGACGACGGCGAGCCTCGGTCGTTTGCAGAGGCCGAGAGACACGCGGCATGGTGCGCCGCGATGCAGTTGGAGATGGATGCGGTTGAGAAGAACCGCACCTGGGAGCTTGCTGACCTTCCTCGTGGTCACCGCGCGATCACCCTTAAGTGGGTGTACAAGTTGAAGAGGGATGAAGCCGGCGCCATCGTCAAGCACAAGGCTCGCTTGGTGGCACGAGGTTTCGTGCAGCAGGAGGGGGTCGACTTCGACGACGCTTTTGCTCCCGTGGCACGGATGGAGTCCGTGCGACTCCTCCTTGCGCTAGCTGCCCAAGAGGGCTGGCGTGTTCACCACATGGACGTCAAGTCGGCGTTCCTTAACGGCGACTTGAAGGAGGAGGTTTACGTGCACCAGCCGCCGGGATTTGCGATCCCCGGCAAGGAGGGCAAGGTGCTCCGCCTGCGCAAGGCCCTCTATGGCTTGCGGCAGGCACCGAGGGCGTGGAATGCTAAGTTGGATTCCACACTAAAGGGGATGGGCTTTGAGCAAAGCCCGCACGAGGCGGCCATCTACCGACGGGGCAATGGAGGAAATGCCCTGCTGGTGGGTGTCTACGTCGACGACTTGGTGATCACCGGCACCAAGGATGCGGAGGTGGCGGCATTCAAGGAAGAGATGAAGGCTACCTTCCAGATAAGTGACCTGGGGCCTCTCTCCTTCTACCTGGGAATCGAGGTGCACCGGGATGACTCCGAGATCACGCGCCGATGGACCGCCCCACGCCAAGCGCGTCGTTGAGCTATTTGGGCTCACCGGCGCAACCCAGCTCTCACTCCGATGGAGGGAGAGGTGAAGTCGAGCCGCGATGACAGACGACGGAGGAGGTGGGCGCTACTGCGATCTGCGGCGCCTTGTGGGGAGCCTTCGCTACCTCGCCCCACACGGCCGGACTTGGCATTCTTCGTCGGCTACGTTAGTCGGTTCATGCGGCGACCGACGACGGAGCACCAAAGAAAGTGTGAAGAGGATCATCCGCTACGTTGCGGGGACTCTCGACCACGGCCTCTACTACCCGAGGTGTCTGGGCGGCACACTTCGTCTGGTGCAATGACGACGAATGACCACCCGGCGACATCGACACCGGCAAGAACACGAGTGGGATCCTCTTCTTCCTCGGCAAGTGCCTCGTTAGCTGGCAGTCGGTCAAGCAGCAGGTGGTGACCCTGTCCAGCTACGAGGCCGAGTACATAGTGGCCTCCACCGCTTCGACTCAGGCGCTCTGGCTCGCTCGACTGCTTGGTGATCTCCTCGGCAGAGAGACACTAGAGCGGTGGAGCCTGGGGTGGACAACAAGTCCGCCATGCCCGGGCAAAGAACCCGTGTTCCACTGAACGCAGCAAGCACATCCGGGTGAGGTACCACTTCATCCGAGGCTGTTTGGAGGAAGGGAGCATCAAGGCGAACTACATCAACACCAAGGACCAGCTTGCGGACCTGCTCACCAAGCCCCTTGGGAGGATCAAGTTCCTTGAGCTCTGCTCCAGGACCGGGATGGTTCAACTCTCCCACAAGACGACGCACAAGACTTAGGGGGGGAATGATGGATAAGTCATGTGTGGCTGGTCTTCGTGGGGCTGTTGTTGCTCACATGGTCCTTGTGGCTGTTTTTCTGTTTTTAGGACAGCATCTTAAACTAGAGGACAGCATCTTAGAGGACAACATCTTAGACTAGAGGACAGCATCTTAGATAGGACAGCATATTAGCATCTTAGACTAGCATCTTAGACTAGCATCTTGGCATATGCTTGGCTGGCTAGCAGCCTATAAATATGTAACCTCAACCCCTCAGGTTGGTATGGCATTTGTGTGAGCTTGTGTAAGAAATAAACAAAAAATTGCCCCAACTCCTAGTGTCATCCTCTCTCGATGAGAGTAAGAATTCTCCTACTACCAAGAGTGAGAATTCAGCGACTAACATATCTATTAGGTTACTCCCTTTCATTTGTTCAGATCAGTTAGCTTTTGAAATTGCAAATGTCATACAGTTCCCACATAGACAAATATGAGTTTAAAATTCAGAACACTGAACAGCAACAGACAAAGGAGGATTGTAGCCTCAGCCTGGATCATTTATGCCAGTTGCAAGTGAAAATAGTTCAGGCATAGAAAATCTGTCAATATTTCGTCAAAGAACCAAAGTACCAAACTATAAATAGAATAGCAGCACAAAGTTGAACCATACAAGTATCACAACTGATGCTCACATGACTAAGGCTAACAACGGCTAATTAAGCGTGATACCACCAACTCACTGATTTGCAGAAGAACATAGCTATCAGCCTAGCAAGCATATATACCATACACTCCAAAAATAGAGAAACGTGGCAACCAATGCTGCACTGAATGAGCTAACTGGAGAAGAAGAAGCGCACCTTGATTTCCTGTCTCATTGTACTGACAAGGAGCTGGTTGAACTCCCAAGGGAGGTATCGCATCTGGACACCAGACACATTGCGCAGGTAGTAGTGGATGAAGTCATTGCTCCCGATGGACACAAAGAACACGGACCTCCTGAACAGGTTGGCCACCGCGGCCTCCCCAAGGGCCAGTGACAGCTGCTCATATGTGTCCTCGACTTGTTGCACCTGCTGGGTCAGGGATACATGCATTCCCTACAGCACAACCAAATCAAGATTGCAACTAGAATCACTAAATTAATTAATTTATTTGTCAACTAAATTATGACAATGCTGCCGAGCTAAGTATAGCATTATGGTATACATACAAGCTCAGAGCCACTGCTGGAGATGATGCCGGCTGCCGCGGACGCGTAGTTGACGCCTTGTATCATCCCATCAATGTTTGTGAGGCCAACATCGGCGGTGCCCGTGCGCATGTTCTGTTCAAGGTATGGAGGCACGAAGGGGAGGCCCAGCCGCTCCGCTGCACAAAGACCATCGATATAATGTCGCTGGACCAAGATGGAGAGGAGGCCGCGGAGCCCGGCCTTATTACCGATGTAGTCGACGGGGATGCGGCCGTTGGAGAAGCGCCCCGTGGGGCGGTGCGTGTCGAAGTCCCGGCCGTAGGGCTCGCGGTCGGCGCGGGCGAGCGTGCCCAGGTAGTTGTTGGTGCCTACGTCGGCCGTGGAGTCGCCGATTACGAAGAGCGCCGGGACCAGCGGCGCGGGCCGCGGGGACGAGGAAGGTGAGGACGTCGAGTTCGCTGCTGCGGCGGCGGAGCATCGGCGGGGACCGGAGAGGAACAGGAGTAGGAGGGCGAGCAAGGGCGCCACCGCCATTTCCGGCGCGCGCGCTCGGTGGCGCGCGGTGGTGAGTTGGCGCGCTCAGCTTAGTGGTGTGCAGCTCTGGGCCGCTTGGCTTGCCGGCCCGGACGTCGTGTCGTGAAGTGGGTTGCTGGTCGAATCTTGTTAGGCCTCCTTTTTTTTATCTTAATAATTAAAAGATGATCTAGTTAGGGGTTAGAATTAGATGATGCATGCTAGAAGAGAAGCGTACAAGTGGCCAAGATCGTACAAATAATATATTTTAGGATGTATATTAGTATACACATGTTCATACATTGTCACACTTTGCCAAGCTGTAATAAAGAAACAAGGAGCCAAGCAATGAGTTTTTCATGAAGATGCGATGGGGGAAGATTGCTTGGCTGAACCAAAGGATCGAGAGGACCCAAGCAATAAGTTTTTCATGAAGATGCGATTGATCCTAAAAACTCTACAAGGAGATAACAAAGAACCTAACAGGAACCTCCAACATTTTTCTATCTGAACGCTTAGATTAGGGCGTCCAAACGGTTCTCTTTCCGTCGGACGCCGCGTCCACCGTTAACGCCACAGACCGAAACGAGTTGGCGCACCGCCTCGGGCTTCTTCGCACAGGCCCACACGACTCTCATTCTCCGCTGCAAGGGCTGCATCTCTGTGTCGTCGTGCGCACCCACCTTCCTCCTTTCCCTGCTCGCTCATTGCGCCGCTGCATCCACCCACATGCCTTCCTCGCTGCCGTGCTTTGCTCCCAAGTGATCCCCACCAACATCCGTTTCCTCCCATGGAAGGCGTCCGTACGTATGGACGAGTCTGCATCCTGCGACTCCCCACTCCGCCTCATTCGTCGTGGCTTCAACGTGCCGTCCTCACCCCACCCTTTGTGCCACCGAGCTCAGCACCGTCGGTGAGCACACTAGTGACCTTCACGTGCCGCCCACCCGTCCTCTGTGCCGCCGCCGCCGTGTCGCCCCCCACCCTGCCCTTTGTACGTCGTCGCATAGCTCCGCGTTGTCGGCGAGCACACCGGTGACCTCCACGCGCCGATGAGCTTCCATTCGCCGAAGCAGTAAGGAGATGTTTGCACTAAAAAGCGCATGTTGCAACTATATGTTTCAAGTGTTTCAGGTATTTTAGAGGTATATTGCAAGTGTTTTGTATCAATGTTGCAAAAGTAGATTAGGATGTTGCACATGTTGCAATTGCTATACGCGTATGTTTCAAGTATAGTTTCCAAATGTTTCATCTGTTTTAGACGTATGTTGTAAGTGTTTTATTTGGATGTTGCAAAAGTAGATCCGGATGTTGCACATATATGCAAGTATTTTAATTATTTTGTTTTCATACGTGTGTTGCAAGTGTTTTTATATGGATGTTTATAATGTTTGCGATGGCTACACACATGGTTTTTAAGTTTTTTCTAGTGTTTTGTAAGTGTTTCATATGTATGTTGCAAGTGTTTTAAATTTTTCGAACGTATGTTGCAAGTATTTCATCTAGATGTTGTAAAAGTAGATCTGATATTGCACATATTACAGTGGGACCCACCTGACGTAGCCGCCTGCTACAACTGCTAGGTCTGCGTGCATGCGCGTGGGAATAGAGGGGGCGCGAGCGGCAAGCGTAGGAAACGAAGTGAGGCGTAGATCAAGACACGACCCCTGCATGGGCAGGTGCAAGCGCGGGAAATAGAGCTGCATGGGCCCCCACGTAAAGCGCGGCAGCGTCCGGATGCTAGCGCCTCGGAACAGACGTTCGGACGCTAGCAAGTCCGTTTTTCTATTGCAATGGTGGTCTTAACCGTCCAAAAATTGCTCAAAAGATATAGATGCATTCCGGTCTCTCCACTTCTTGCGTAAAGCCTTTTTTAAGTAGTATATACGAAAAACGACTACAGATTCCTACTTTTCTTTGCGAATCTATAACATCCTAAATTTAATTTTAAAATAGTTTAATTTTTTCTACACTTAATTAGAGTTTTCTTTATAACTTAATTATTGGAGTTAAGACCTAACTAATAGAAAGAAACAATAATATTTTGTAAAATAAATAAATTAGCACAGCTAATAAAATCTTTGATGCATTCATGTTGTCATGTATAAGTTTTTCTATGCAAATTTTTTTTGAAACAATTATGTTGCTTATGCAACATTCTTATCCAAGACCTCACCGTCTTGCCATGGCCCAAGCCCTCGCCAACCATTCGTGATCATGCTCATTCTCTTGGTCAATTTTAGATCATAACCTATGTTGCTTTAGTGGACAAACATGCCCTATAACGCGTGAGTGATCAGAAACCCATCATCATTTCAACTTCTACCATCTAAGCAAACTAAGCATGAATATATTAATCGAGTAATGAATGTGAACAATCAACATTTGAGTGGTGCAGGAACATTCAAGGTATGAAAGCTCAAATAGGTAAATTAAACATAGGCATTCTGGTCATATTGTAACATATCAATGCAATAATTAACCATAGTCACATTGTGCATTTGCAAAGAGAGGGATGCATAGGGGCCTGTCTTAGGACTGCTCGGTTGGTGGTTCATCGATCACGTCGATGGTTTGGGCCTCCTCAAGTTGGGCTTCCTTGGAGCCCTCGTCACCTAATGAATGCATGATGCACAATGAGTACAAGGCATAAAGATAAATGACATGATATGATATGCATTGATGTTCATTACATGGGTTATAGGTAGATATAACATGTGTATGTAGTGTAGTATCATTGGTGCTATCGACTGTTCTGGCAGATGATCCGGCAGATCATTGGATGGTCCATGAGAATGGTCCGCCAAAGCATTTGTGAAAATTCAAAGTGTTGGGTCTCACGGACCATCCAAGGTTCAAATGGATGATCTAGGAGTGCAAACCCAAAGCTAACAAGTTCAATTTAAAGAATATTGAATTATAGTAAGAGAGTCTGATGTTCTCACGGAGGGTCCGTGAGAATAGGTCTGTAGGCTCTAAGTGTTCAAATCTATAGCTTCTCTCTTAGATGTTCAATGGTTGAAAGCTCTAGTTTGATTTTGGTGAATTGATGAAACCCTAAGTGCTAACCTAGTTTATCAAGTGATCATGAGATAGGTAGCACACTCCAAGTGGTGAAGCAAATGAAGATCATAGCATGATGATGATGATGGCATGGTGATGATCAAGTGCTTCGACTTGGAAAGATGAAAGAGAAAAACAAAAAGCTCAAGGCAAAGGTATATTGTGTAGGAGCTATTTTGTTTTGGTGATCAAGACACTTAGAGAGTGTGATCACATTTAGGTTTGATAGCCGTACTATTAAGAGGGGTGAAACTCGTATTGGAATGCCGTTATCAAAGTGTCACTAGATGCTCTAACTCATTACATATGCATTTAGGATCTAGTGGAGTGCTAACACCCTTGAAAATGTTTGTGAAAATATGCTAACACATGTGCACAACGTGATACACTTGGTGGTTGGCACATTTGATCAAGGGTGGTGAAGTTTGGGTGCAAGGGTAAGAAGCTCCACCAGCGGAGTGTCCGCCCGTAGAGTGCGGACAGTCCGACGGTGCCATCGGCGCCCTAGATAGAAAAGACGGAGGTCACTGTGAGTGACCGGACGCTGGACTCGGTTGGACCGAAGTGTCCGGTTAGTGGCAGCAGAGGACGTGCGTTTCGGTCTCATGACCGGACGCTGGGTCGCTCAGCGACCGGACGCTGGCAGGGTGCGTCCGATCAGTGCTGACGTATGCTGACGTAGGGCGTACAGAGGTAACACTGTGTGACCGGACGCTGGCTATGTCCGGTCAAGCATGACCGAACGCGTCCGGTTGGGAAAAATCGCGTTTGGAACCTTACTGGAAACGACCGGACGCTGAAGTCCAGCGTCTGGTCACTTTCTAACTGACGCGTCCGGTCAACAGACGATCGTTGAAATCTGATGAACAGTATTTGAAGCAGGGGACACGTGGCGTGAATCACGTGACCGGACGCTGAGGGCCAGCGTCCGGTCACCCCGCGTTGTGCCCAGTGAAGGGGTACAACGGCTCTATTTCGTGGGGGCTTCTATTTAAGCCCCATGGCTGGCTCAAGCTCACTCTCTTGGCCATTTGCATTGACATAGCAACCTTGTGAGCTTAGCCAAAGACCTCCCACTCATTTCCATCATAGATTAAACATCTTTGTGAGATTGGGAGAGAATCCAAGTGCATTGCTTGAGTGTTTGCATCTAGAGGCACTTGGTGTTCGTGTTTCGCTGCGAGATTCGCTTGTTACTCTTGGTGGTTGCCGCCACCTAGACGGCTTGGAGCAGCGAGGATCATCGAGCGGAGGGTGGTGATTGTCTCCGGCTCCGATCGTGGTGATTGTGAGGGGTTCTTGACCTTTCCCCGGCGGAGCACCAAAAGATACTCTAGTGAATTGCTCGTGGCTTGTGTGATCCTCATCTTGTGTTGGTTGTGCGGCACCCTATTGAGGGTTTGGCGTGTGAAGCCAATTAGCGCGTGAACCTCCAAGTGAGTGAATCGCCACAACGAGGACTAGCTTGCCGGCAAGCAAGTGAACCTCGGTAAAAAATCATTGTGTTCATCGTTGATTCCGAGGTGATTGGTCTTCATTGTTATTCATCCTTGTGATTGATTAGTTCTTTCATCTACACGGTGGTATAACTTTCTTGATCACTCTCTTTACATTACCGCAAACTAGTTGTCAAGCTCTTTAGTGTAGTTAGTTGTGAGAGCTTGCTTGCTTGGTTGGTGTGGCTCTTTAGTTAGCTTTTGAGAGCACACTAACATAGGGTAGTGTTATAGCTATTGTGTGAATAGATACTATCTAAACTAGAATTATGATAGGTGGCTTGCATTTTGAGTAGGCTAGCGCAATATTTGCTTCGCCTCTTAATTGTCTAACCATGTTGTTAAGTGTTGTTGTAGAATTTTTATTAGGCTATTCACCCCCCCTCTAGCCATTAGGACCTTTCAAGTGGTATCGGAGCCGAGGTCACCGTGATTTGAGGCTTAACAACCTTCGGTGTAAAA